GCCTGGCTCAAGTAGAAATGGTGAATGGGCAGGGTAGTTCTTGGGGAAGGAGCTTGGGGACACTTCCCTTAGTGCTCGGTGTGAAACTGCCTTGAACAGGTGGCTGCAGAACAGACGCTGAATGCTAATTTGTTTTGGACTTGTTTTTTCATAAAAGCCAAAATGCTCAGATTTTTTTTTTGTTTTAGTTAGCAAAAATCAGGTACTAGCACAAGTCTTTTGGAAGAGCAAAGTGATTTGTTTCCATTAAAGAACTTTTGAAACGTGGTGAGCACCTGTCCATAGTTAAATCAGCCTTCAATTCAGTGCAAGCAATGTATGCAGTTACAGCTATTGCCTGCTGCATCACAGGCACGGTGTGTTCCTTCTCCTTTCCCCACTGCCATTCTTTATTTTAATGGGTATGTTTTTAGTGTAATATCGCTCTTTCTTTGTTCTCTTCTACAGGAAAGATATAAGGAAGCTGAGGAAATTTACCAGGCTGGCATAGAGAACTGCCCAGACAGCTCTGATTTACACAACAATTATGGAGTTTTCTTGGTTGATACTGGTGAGGACAATTCCAGGGAACCTGGTTCTGTGGAGATTAGAAGTACTTCCTGTCAAGCAAAGTGGCAATGGCCCAAAGAACGCCTCGGAAATAAAATTCACTGGGCTCGACGGGAAGTCCACCCTGCCAGCAGTCATCAGTCATATTGTCCCTCGGGGCTGCGAGCTCTCTACATCTTCCTGCTCAGTTCAGTAAAATCCTCCCGGTCTGGTCACCCGCTCGCTACGCAAGACTCCTCGGGCGGCAGGAAGAAGCCCTGATGATTCCATAAGCAGCAGTCGCATTGTGTATCATGTACCCAAGCGTAAGAGCTCGGATGATGGCATGTTTCTCAACAGCCACACAGAACGTGCATCCAAATCTAGCCCTGGCGCATGGTAGATGCCTTTCCACGCTTGAGGAAAAAGCCTCTAGGGTGTTTTCCCTGCTCCCTCCTTGAGGTGCATTATGGAAACTCTATTATGATCACCGATAGAGTGCTCCTGTCTAGCAGGTGCTGGAGAAGACCCCCTCACTCCATCTTATTCAATGCAAGGCTTTCCTGGGCAGGGAGTCCGTTTCCTGTGTGATTTGTGGAGAGGCCAAGATACTATTGGCGTGTAATGAATACTGATCAATAACGATATAATCTATTTGGATTTAATAAAATGTGCGACATTGTTCTTTGTTTTTGTTGCTGATTATAAGACTTAGCTAATCATCAGCTGCCCTGCAGTAAAATTCAGTTTTAATTATTTTTTTCAATATGCAGTGCCTGAAAGGTTTTTCTTTTTCTTTTTAATTTTCAAAGGGCTTTGAAGCTTGCCTGTTTTCTAGAATATCAATTTTTACTCTGATATGCCTAGGAACTGTACTTTGTGTTTGCACATCAAATTGTTGTGTGGTGCCACCTGCTGGTCGATTAGCCAGATAATACTAAGTTACCGTAACGCTGCAAAGATCAGAAGAGACCTTCATGATCTAACCCTATTCATTCTGCTACAACAGAAAACAACCTCCTTTCCACTGGCACGTTTTCTCTTTGTATTTTGGTTTTCATGATTATGAACGTCTCCTAGTTCCCAATGACCTATATATAGATTCAGTTTCTCTGGATACCTTCTGGTCTAATGAAATGGTTATAAGTTAGTGGCAACATAAGATCCCAAAGTGTACACTAATTTGCAAACCGAATAGTTGATGATATGACTCTGTAATGATGAGGAAAGTGGTAAATCAGAAGAGAAAAAGCCCCAATTATTAAAGCCTGTTCTCCTCTTACCAACCCTTCCCTGCTGCAGGCTCCCCAGAGAAGGCTGTGGCTCATTACCAACAGGCCATCCAACTCAGCCCAAGCCATCACGTGGCCATGGTGAACCTGGGAAGACTCTATAGGTCACTGGGAGAGAACAATGTGGCTGAAGAGTGGTACATACGGTAAGATCATTTGGGGGGGTGGGGGGGATTTCACTTTGTTGGCTGGTCAGAAGCCAATGCAATTACCCATCCAGGTTTTCATTCATCAGAGCAGATACGCGCTTAGTATTCTAGCAAATTTTGCCA